TCCTCATTTCCATATTTAAATCTTAGATGATAGAGAGTGCTATCAATGTTTAAGTTCTAGCTTTTTTCTTTAAAAATACTCTTCTAGATTTTCTAAAATCAATTTTTTATTATTTGATAAAATCTAAAAAGACCAAAAAAGAAAATTTGTATCACTTGTAATCCAGTTGCCCATCAGAGCCCTTTCACACTGTGCTTATGTATCTTTTCTGCGTTGTTTTTATATCCATGTCTTTTTTGACAGTGCCTTGTATATAGTCTTGATTGGCCTGGAATTTGCTGCGTCTTCTAAGCTAACCCCCCGGTTGCAGCAATTCTCCTGGGCTGCCGGAAGGATGGGTTATAAGCACACACCCACCACTATGCCCAACCCTCCAATTAAAAAAAAAGTTTTAATTTTGTTCTTTAAAAAAAAAAGTATATTTTGAGCTAGGTATGGTGGTGCACCCTTTTAATCCCAACACTCTGTAGGCAGAGGTGGGCAGATTTGTGTGACTTCAAGGCCAGTCTGAGCTATGTATAGTAAGTTCTAGAACAGCCAAGGTTATGTAGAGAGACCCTGTCTCAAAAAACAAAAACCAAAGAAACAAACAAAAAGACAAAAATATTTATTTTACATGTTGGAATATTTTGTGTGCATGTATGTGCACGCACTGCATGTCTGGTAGTGAGATGAGAAGAGTTTTAGCTAGTTGTGAGCCACCCTGCGGGTGGTAGGAAATGAGTCAGGGTCTTCTGGGAAGGCAGCAGTATCCTTAACCACTGAGCTATTTCTCCAGTTTCTTCTCTTTTTTCCCCCCTGTAAATATTGGGGCTGGAAAGATGATTTGGTGGTTAAGGGCATCGGCTACTCTTTCAGACAACCCAGATTTAATTCCCAGCACCCACAAGGTGGCTTACAACCATCTGTAACTGCAGTACTGGTAATCCAACATTATCTTTTAGCTTCTATAGGCACCAGGCAGTTCAGTGATACACAGATATACATGCAGACAAAATACTCATATAGATAAAAGAAAGAAAATTTGAAAAAGTGTTATTATTGTGTCTGCATGATATGTGTGTAGGGGGTTATGTACCATCATGCACATGTGGAGGTCAGCGGACAACTTCATGGGATCAGTTTCTTCCTTCTGCCATGAAGGTTCTGAGTCATCAGGCTTGTGTGAAAAGCGCTTTTGTTTTCTCAGACATTTTGCTAGCCTATTACCTTGTTTTTATTTTTATTCTTTAAATATATTTTTGTGTATGTGGTTATTTTTATCAGTGTGTATATGTACTACATATGCACCTGGTGCCCACCAAGGCCTGAAAAGGGCACTAGCCTCTTTAGAACTGGAGTTACAGACAGTTGTGAGCTGCCATGTAGGTGCTGGGAATCGAACCCAGGTCCTCTAGAAGAGCTCTTAATCACTGAGCCATCTCCCGTCTTTGTTTTTTCTATCTTAAACGAATTATTATGACTATCATTAGTACTATATGTGCATTTGAGTGTATGTGCACATATCTATGTGGGTGCCCCTGGAGGCTAAAGAGGGTCACAGATCCCTTGGAGCTTGAAGTGTGCTGGGATCCGAACTTTGGTCCTCATGATAGAACAACAACCACTTTTAACACCAGAGCTTGTCGCCAGCCTGCTAATGTTTTGAGATTGGATCTCACTGTGCTGGTTGCCCTGACTACAAACTCCTGCTACAGCAGTCCTGCTTCAGCTGCCCAAGTACTAGACTGTAATATACTCTTGCGTATACAGGTTATATTCTCTGTAAAATTGAAAGTAGTCTTTTTCTCCTTTTTTCTTTTCCTTCCTTCCTTCCTTCCTTCCTTCCTTCCTTCCTTCCTTCCTTCCTTCCTTCCCTCCCTCCCTCCCTCCTTCCCTTCCTCCCTCCCTTCCTCCCTTCCTTTCTTTTATTTTTTTCTTTTGAGACAAGGTTTCACTATATAGCTTAGGCTAGTCTGGAAGTTACTGTATAGTCAAGCTGGCTTCAAGCTTGAAGTCTTCCCACCTTAACCTCTTAGAGTTCTAGGGTTATAAATATGTGCCACTGTGCCCAGCTAGTCTTAACAATTTTAATGGTTATATGATATTTCATTGTTTGTAATAGACAGTCATTCATTTATCCCTCACTTAAAAGCTTTATATATTTTAAAAATATTTATTTGTGTGTGCATGTGTGTGTGAGCGAGTGCTATGGCTCCCAGCGGAGGTAAGAAGGTATTTTGATGATTGGTTCTATCCCTCTACTAGGCTTTACTTGCCGAGCCATTTCTTTAGCCCACATTTGAAAACCTAGGTCATCTGCAGTTTTGTTCTGTTCTGCTGCACATTGCATCCTTGATGAAACTTTGGCACCCTTGGGTCATCCTTGCTATCGCGGTGTACTCTGGTCTGTTTGGTGACTGCTTTAACAGCTTATCAAAACAGGTGAGCAGATTAGATAGTGTTGACTCTGGATGGTGAGTCTGCAAGCTTCTGTGAGTCCAAGAGTCCCAGAGATATTTTATTTGGAGCGATAACTACAGTACTTGAGTTAAACATTCTGATAGATTAATATATCACAACAAGAGACCAGAAGACAAAGATTAGGGAATAAAGCTTTTTTTTAAGATAAATTGTAATATGCCAGGTATGACATTAGCATATGGGCTAAATGTTCCTAACATTAAGTGGTAGGTAAATATTTTTCTCATTTACTAGACGAGGAAACTGAAATTAGGAAAGAAATTTGCTGATGCTCATTTAAGTATTAACTGGGAGTGTTCCAGAAGTAAACCAGTGCAGGCATGTCTGACTACCCAGCCCTGCGCAGGACTAATCCTGCTACACCAAAGGAAGAATTATAGGATATTGGAGTAGCAACTCATATGGCAAGTAGGCTGAAGTCCCTGGGAGAGTGTGTATAGGTGCAGGTAAGACGAAGCCTCAGCTAAACTGCAATGGCATCTGTTGTTGTTATGATTCGTTTTGTTATACAATGTAAATTTTTCTTTTGGCATATAATGAATTTACATTAAAATATTTTTATTTATGTGCACCATGTGTGTCCAAGTGCCCAAGGAGGGCCAGGGATGTTATACTCCTGGAACTGGCACTGTGAGCTGCTCCAAGTAGGTGCCGGGGGCAAGCCCAGATCCTTTGCAAGAGCAGTAGGCACACCTAATCTCTCCAGTCCTGTTTAATGTGGAATTTAGCCATTTAGCTATGTGGTTGCTACAGAGTCAGGGTACAGAATTGGTCAGTTTTTCCATAAATCACTGGCTTACTGTTCTTTATGTTTGTTTTTATTTTTTTTTTTTGAGACTGGGTTTTTCTGTGTAACAGTCCTGGCTGTCCTTGAATTAGTTCTTGTGATGTGGGAGTGTCATATCAATCTGTTGTTTCATTGGTTAATAAAGAAACTGCTTGGCCTGATAGGTTAAACATAGGTGGGTGGAGTAAACAGAACAGAATGCTGGGAGGAAGAGGAAGTGAGCTCAAACGCCATGCAGCTCCTCTCAGGGCCAGTTGCAATGAAGCTCTGACCCAGGATGGACGTAGGCTAGAATCTTCCCAGTAAGCGCACCTCGTGGTGCTACACAGATAATTAGAAATGGGCTAAAGCAAGATATGAGAAGTAGCCAGTAAGAGGCCAGAGCTAATGGGCCAAGCAGTGTTTAAATGAATACAATTTATGTGTTGTTATTTCGGGGCATAAGCTAGCCAGTTGGCTGGGAGCTGGGTGGCAGAAAGCAGCCCGCAGCTCCTAATACATTCTTGTAGACCAGGCTGGCCTTGAGCTCAGAGAGATCTGCCTGCCTCTGCCTCCAGAGTGCTGGGATTATATAAGTCTCATCCACGGAGTTGCAGGGCATGTGAAGCCTTTCAAGGCTTTTGCATAATGCATTTCTGATAGGTTGCCCATTTAGTGTGCACATGTTCTGGTACAATTTTGCTCTCAAAATATGTCCTTATTATCCCTAACTCCAGTTCTAGTTCAGCAAAGAGAATGGTTTTCGGCTAAGACATGATTAGGTTATAGTTTCAAGCACACACACACACACACACACACACACACACACAAAATCAATAAACAAACAAACAAAAAACCTCAAACAGATATCTCTGAAATGTGTTGCAGAGAAGGGAAGCTAGAAACAATCACATGTGACTTCTTTATCTCCCTGTGTCTTGCACACAGAAAGAAAGCCACATGGAAAGTTTGCACTGACTGTGACTTCCGACAGCCCGAAAACAGAACAGCTGTTAGCATAAGGGAGGGGGAGGAACGTTCCTGGCCAGCTGGCGCTGTTTCACGCCTGTTCTGGCGAGGGAACAACAGGTGTGAGTAAATAGCCTGCCATCTCCTCCCCCATGTCACAGCTTGGGAAGTCTGTGGCTTTGCCTTTGTTTTCTTGTGATCCTATGGGTTGAAACCCAGGGTCATACATGTTACCTAGGTACTTTACCATGCACACGTCCTCAGCCCCACCTCCGGATAGTTTCAAAAAGCTGTTTAAATATATACATAAAAAGATCCTAAGTATGTGAATAAACTAAAATAACTAAAATGCTCCAAGGTTGAGGATACTGCAGGCAATTACCAGCTCAAAACCATAAACTGCAAAACCAATACCCCCTCCCCCAGGAAACACAAACTACCTTTTCTCCCTGCTTTCTCTTCTGTGGCCCTGAGAGAGAAAGGGGTGGAGAACTTTTATAGCAGCACCACACCACTAACCACAGAGAGGGGGTGCTGCAGCCTGGGGCCAGCATGCAGTGTCTGAAAGCTGAGGGTGCCTTGCCCACTGCCCCTTGCCTGCCTGCTCTCTCCCTGAAGCAGTGCTCTGTGACACTGGCCCCTCCCACCTCCTTTCCACCTCTACCCTGAAGGCTCTGTTTTGACTACAGCTGTCCGCAGTTCTCCTTTGGTCAAGCATACACGTGTGCTGAGGGCCAGCACGATTGCTCTGTGGATAAAGGTGTTTATCAGGACTTGAGGTTGAGTAGCAGGAGAGACTCACCCTGCATGTTGTCCTTGACCTCCGCTCGTGCTCAGAAGCAGTGTAGCAGTTGGTCAGTGGGAGGATGCTTCATGGGACTCTGGAAAGAATCTGTAACGCCACCTGGAAAGAAAGTAAGGAACTGTATTTTGTCAAAACTGAAGTAGGCACAAAAGAACATTCCTTACGGTAGGAATGAATAGAACTTCCTAAGAGCAACTCAGGTCACACAAAGCAGTAAAGAGCCAAAAAATTTCACTTCTGACCTTCCCCAGCTGAAAGGAGCGAGCCAAAAAATTTCACTTCTGACCTTCCCCAGCTGAAAGGAGCGAATGAAAGGCTGTGTGGAAGCACCCTTCACAGTCTGTGGACTTCCTGGAAGAATGCGAGCGTGCACACGTGGTCAGATTTACATAAGTGATTCACACCCCTCCCCTGGCCCCCGTGGAATGTATTTCTTACAAGTGAGTTTTGTTTATTTCCTTTTTGGTGAAACATTAGTCTAGAAGCAACTTCCTGTCTGTTTAATAGTGTAGATTTTGCTGAGGTTTTATGATTCCTTTCTGTTGTTTGCAGTAGAGTATTGGATATCCAGATGGCCATTTAGCCTGAGTGTGGTAGTAAGCTGTCCCAGGGTTGGCAGAAGAGAGTTAAGTTTGTGTGTACAGAGCCGCACAGGCTCATCAGGTTATAGACTGAAGGTGGGTGAAGAGACAAGGTCTCATTCTTCCAGGAGACCCATCCTTGGAGTCAGACTCCTTTCCTCGAGGACAGCAGGTGTGAGGAAGAGTATGAAGAGACATACCATGTTAGGATCTTGTCCTCCCTGCTGAACTGTAGGATGCTGCTTACCTGCCCTGCCACACGCGGGCACAGGCGGCCTGGTAGAGTCAGTGTCTGACTTTCCACACACGCGGGCACAGGCTGCCTGGGAGAGTCAGTGTCTGACTTTCTGACACTAGCTAAGAGGTGCTACTCGTGGTAAAATTTTTTTGGAAGTTTAAAAAAATTATTACTAGGGGCTGGAGAGATGGATCAGTGGTTAAGAGCACTGGCTGCTCTTCCAGAGGTCCTGAGTTCGATTCCCAGCAACCACATAGTGGCTCACAACCATCTGTAATAAGATCTGGCACCCTCCTCTGGCATGCAGGCATACATGGAGGCAGAATGTTGTATACATAATAAACAAACAAATAAATAAATCTTAAAAAAATTATTATTATTATTTTTTAATTTCATGAGCATCGGTGTTTGCCTGCACATGTATGGGGGTGTTGGAGCCGCTAGGACTGGAGTTACAGACATGAGTTACAGTGAGCTGCCATGTGGTTGCTGGAAATTGCACCTGAGTCCTCTGGAAGAGCAGCCAGTGCTCTTAACCACTGAGCCATCTCTCCAGCCCAATAATAATTTTTAATACTTTGCTTTAGCTTTGTTCCTCTCCCACATTTTTAAAAGTTAAATCATGACCGAGTTCATAAATCTCTAAATGCAGCAGACACCAACATATGCCAAATTCTTCATTTTCCATCTTCCTTTTTTCTGTTTAGTTTTTGTATTTTATTCCTTTTATTTTCCTGAACTCTTAAAAAATAAGTCACTGCATTGATACTTTTTAAATTAATTTCTTTTTCTTTCAGCTCTTTGATTCTGTGGTTTGTTTTTTTGAAACAGGGTCTTTTAGCCCAGATGGGCCTGTCATTCCTCTTCCTCATCTTCACTGGTGTCAGATTATAGGTGTGGGCCAATATACTGGCTCAATCTGTTTTTTTATAGATTTATAGTAATGTGGTAAGGGATGCCAGATACTATATGAATATATCCTTAATTGCTATGTTTCTGATATATGAAAAATAGAAAAAAGTTTTAATTATGATCATTGAAATTAAAGGAATTGCAATTAAAAGTCAACACTTAGGTCACACTAGCCACATAGAGAGTGCTCACTGTCCTCACGCAGCCGTGGCCTGCTATATTGGACATTTGTTTCAGTAGAGATTCAGCTGGTTAACCTTGCTGCACTATTTTTCCCTCTGTTTCCATTAAACAAAAGATGGCTTATTTTATTTTATTTTATTTTATTTTTTATTTTTTTTTTTTATTCAAGACAGGGTTTCTCAGTGGTTTTGGAGTCTGTCCTGGAACTCACTCTGTAGACCAGGCTGGTCTCGAACTCACAGAGATCCACCTGCCTCTGCCTCCCGAGTGCTGGGATTAAAGGCGTGCGCCACCATCACCCGGCAAGATGGCTTATTTTAATATGCCTTATTAGTAATTAATAACTTGGAGATTTTGCTGTACAGCCCAGGCAGGGTTTGATCTTTTCTTAGCCTATGTCTCTATAGTTGACTCTGACTCACTAGAGAAGCATTCCTTTGTTCTTCCTGCAATTATGAAGATGGCACCGCCTTTGTAATGGCCTTCCTGAGCATTGTTAGAAGATTCAAGAAGTGTTGACTAAAGTCACCCATTCTACCAACCTGTTGAGCCTCAAGATGATTTCTCCTTTTGTATAAGCATGTTTGCATGAGCTAGCTTTTCTGTTTTGATTATTTTTAGGTGGAATAGTTATTATGGTTATAATTATAGATCTCAAAAGTTGTGAGAGCAAAACCCTTAGAACAATGATTCTCAACCCATGGGTCACAACCCTCTTGGGGATCACTTATCAGATACCCTGCATATCAGATATTTACATTACGATTCATAACCATAGCAAAATTACAGTTATGAAGTAGCAACGAAAATAATTTTATGGTTGTGGTCACCATGACATGAGGAACTGTATTAAAGGCTCACAGCTTTAGGAAGGTTGAGAACCACTGCTCTGAAGGTACATCTTTGAGGCATCAAGCAAGCCTACCAGCTAGTCACCACTATGTCCTTCATTGTTCTCGGTGTTGAACAGAATAAGAACATGTATTTATTACAGGAAAGGGAAATTCAGGAAATGGATAGTATGATTTTAGCCAAGTTATAAAATAAGGAATTCAGATGTAGTAGTGATCTTAATCTGTTGTTAGAAATTAGTTAAATTTGAAGGTGTATACAGCAAGAAATACCTTCTATCTGATTGTGAAGATACCAACCTAAAAGTTGATTATATATTTTTTCAGATGTCCCTTAATGTTTATTAAGTACAAACACACATGTTTATTTTATATTAATACAATTGTACATAGAGAGTGATTTTAAGATTATTTTGCTGGATGTAGTAAATACATTTTTTTGTATCTGATCCATACTCTTATTACTAAGTTTTTTACTTTTAACTTTTACAGATTCTGTCGTGAGAAATCTGAAATATAATTATGTTCTTCTATAAGCATATTTATAATGTATAAACATTAGCATGGTTATGACTTGTTGCTCAATAAAATTTGTTTCTATTGGGATATATGAGAAGGGTCATGTGCCATGATCCAGCTGTTTCATTTGCGTGGTGAAACTCAGTAAATACCACAGACCTCTGTGCTGTGTGAAACAAATCTTTCTTTTAAACCTGTTTGTGCTTCAAGGGCTAGCAAGATGGCCCAGCAGTTACTAGTTGTTGCTCCTACAGAGTCCTGGGTTTGGTTCCTAGCACCCATACCATGGCTCACAACAATTCCAGAGGACCTGATGCCCTCTCTGACCTCTGCAGGCAGGCGTGTGGTGCACATAACATACATGCAGGTGAAGCACTCACACGCCTTATAAATAAATACTGAATTAAAAACCCAAACCTGGTTTTACTTCAGGAAGTGACTACAATAGGACTTCCACGTCTTACTCACAGAATATAGAATTTAATGTACTGCAGAGTGGCACCATGTGAAACTTTGAGAGTCTCAGAACAGAGTTAGAGAAACGTAGCTTCCTTGTTGAATCGTTGAACATGTGGGATGAATGCCGAGATTGGAAATTGCATGGAGGGGCAGAATGCTTGTGGTGCACAGATTACATACAGTCGTAATATGTATCGTGTGTCATGTGCTGTAATACCAGAGCTGACTGTCTACCTGTTAGGACTTTGAAGCAGGATTACTGTTTGCTCTTCGCCGTCTTGTGCAGGTCTGATTTCTTTCTTTCCCGCAGAGGATGGAGAATTCTGTTTCAGGGTCACTAAAGGTGCAGTTGGTCCCTGACTTGACTTTGCTTTTTCACTGAGAGAAGAGCAAGGGCCCCTGCTGCAGGAAGCCCTACAGTAGTTACCACTGAAGCTTTGTTCAGAGGTCATGCTGGGCTCTACAGAAATTAAGTTCAAGATTCTGGGAATTTGTAAATTATAGGTTTGCGTTAGTAATTAACATGGCTCTGTTCAGTCTGCTCGTCTTTGTTAGCCGTTCGTTCTCAGTGGGAAACAGTGTATAGGATTGAAGTTCCCCTTGCACAACCTACCCCTCGTGTGTGTGTGTGTGTGTGTGTGTGTGTGTGTGTGTGGTGTATACACACGAACGTGCGGTGTTGCTGGAAACTAAGCCAGGTTTCATGCATGCTCAGCAGGTACTCTGACACTGAGCCACACCCCAGCCTACTCCTGAGTTTCAGATTGCTTGCTGGGTTATTTTTTATGATTTGTTTGTACTTGCACTTTTTTTTTTTTCCTTTTCGAGACATGGTTTCTCTGTGTAGCCCTGCCTGGCTGTCTTGGAACTCTCTCTGTAGACGAGGATGGCCTCGGACTCAGAGATCCACCTGCCTCTGCCTCCTGAGTGCTGGGATTAAAAGCATGCGCCACCATACCTGGCTTGAACTTGAACCTTTTAAGAAAGGAAAATCCTATAACCCTTTTCAGGATATACATTTGTTGTTGCACAAGATTATCATGGGTTTCAGAGGTTTTTTAAACTAAAGTTTCAAAGAGAAAGAGTGGTTGAGTTAGGAGCTCCTTAAGGATCTGAGTGTAGGGGTGACTGGCTAGCAGCTGTGGCCTCGGATGAGGGATTAAAGCCATAGTGAGCCTGCTGGAGGAACCAGAGAAACACCTGCCTTCTCTGTGCTCCCATCCTCTGGCTTTTGCCAGTGCCAGCCTCTCCATCCCTGTTGGCTAAACTTAACTGCAGGCAGAGGGGAGAGAGTTGCGGGTTGTCTGTGTGCGGGTCCTGTGCTGAGTGAAGAAGGGAGAAGGTAGTGGGAAGACATCTACAGACTATTAAACCCTGCTTTCTGATAGAAATGTACACATGCGCCATTGTACGTCTGTAACAAATAATAGCACATAGATGAGTATTGCAGGGTTCCTAAACGAGTTCTCCTCCGAAACTTTTAATGAGGAGAAAAGTATCTAGAGTTATTGTCAGTGTCAGTCAGTGTCTGTGGGAACTGGAAGGGTGACTCGGTGGCTGAGAGCACTTGCTGCTCTTGGAGAGGACTCAGATTTGAGTCCCGTCATCCACATAGTAACACAAGCATCCATACTCCATTTCCAGTTGTCTAGGTACCAGGCACATACCTGGTACACATATGTAAGTGCAGGCAAAATCTCATTCACATAGAACAGATAATTTTTTAAAACTTTAAAAAGATTATCTCTATCCTTTAGATAGTAAGGGAAGAATGGTCCTTTATGAAAGTTTTAGAGACTTCCTACGACACCGATTAGAATATGCCACTCTCCCTCATGCCCTTAAACTATTAAGATAATCTCTAGAGCAAATAAAGGATCCTTTAAAAAATTATATATCATCTTGGCTGGCCTGGAACTCACTACCTAGACCAGGCTATCCTTGAATTTACAGAGACCCTCCTACTCCGCCTCCAGCATGCTGGGATTAAAGGTGTGCTCAGCCACACTCAGCAAGAATATTTATTTTTTAGATAGGATCTTATAGTATAACCCAGACTTGCCTTGAACTCATGATTCTTCTGCCTCAGCCCCCTAAATTCTGGGGATTGTCGGCATATGCCACCATGTACAAATAGAGGCAT